AGACCTCATCTCTACAATAAATCAAAAATCAACCGGGCGTGGTAGTGCGCGCCTGTAGTTCCAGCTACTTGGAAGGCTGAGGCAGAAGAATCGCCAGAGCCCGGCAGGTCGAGGCTGCGGTGGCCGGCAGTGGCCAGTGCCCTCTAGTCTGGGTGACAGAGTGAGACTCCAACTCAAAAAAAAACAAAAAAAGAAAAACATACACTGAAATATCACCTAACTCCAGTCAGGATGATCATCAATAACTCAAAAAACAACAGATCCTAGGGAGGATGCAGGGGAAAGGGAACACTTCTACACTGTTGGTGGGAGTGTAAACTAGTACAACCTCTGTGGAAAACAGTGTGGCAATTCCTAAAAGATCTAAAAATCAGCCTCCCATACAACCCAGCAATCTCCCTTCTGGGAATATACCCTGAGAAACTCAAATCATTTTACAAAAAAAAGATTCCTGTGCATGCATGTTTATTGTAGCACTATTCACAATAGCAAAAACATGGAACCAACCATGCTGCCCATCAAAAGTAGACTGGATTTTTTAAAATGTGGTATATATACTTACCTAGCAGGGGAAATACCATGATCATGAAGGTGGTTTTCCCAGGGTGAGGCTTATCCATTGCACTCCGGATGTGCTGACCCCTGCAATTTCCCCACATGTGGGAAACTTAACTGCATACTATGTGGTAGTGGGGAACTGCGTTCTCGTTCTCCCCTGGTTTTCTGCTGTTAAAAAACAGATAAACTGATTCAGTAGCAAAAAAATTTAAAAATGTGGTACATATACATGATGGAATATTACACAGTCATAAACAAGGACAAAATTATGAACTTCATAGCAACTTGGATGGATTTAGAGTCTGTATTACTTAATGATCTATCACAGAAACAAAGAACTGAGTACCACACGTTCTCACTCATAAGCAGACTCTGAACAATTATCTTAATACTATAAGAAAGTAATTGGCAGCCGGGTTCGGTGGCTCAGCCTGTAATCCCGCGCCTTGGGAGGCTGAAGTGAGTGGATTGCCTGAGCCCACGGGTTCAAGACTCGCCTGGGCAACTTGGCAAGACCTCATCTCTACAATAAATTTTTTAAAAAAAATCAGCTGGGCATGGTAGCACATACTTGTAATTCCGGCTACTCAGAAGGCTGAGGCGGAAGGATCGCCGGAGCCCAGTAGGTCGAGGCTGCGGTGGCCAGGAGCGGCCACTGCACTCCAGTCTGGGTGACAGAGTGAGACTCCAACTCAAAAAAAAAAACAAACATTAAATTTCTTGTTAAACCTGGCAAGAGTGGAAGTGTAATCAAAGACATGTTAATCCACATTTATGAGGATAATGCCATAAAGAAAATGGCAGTGTCAAAATAGATTAAATGTTTTTCTGAGGAGAGAGATAGCACCACTGATGAGAGGTCAGGATGGTCAGCAATGAGCAAAACTCACAAAAACACAACAAAAAATTCGTTGAATTGTGTGTCAAAATCATCAACTGACTGTGAGAAGCATAGCAAACCAAATAAACATTGATAGAGAAGCAGGAAGATCTTAACTGAAAATCTTGGCATGAGTAGGTGTGTGCAAAAATGGTCGCAAAGGAGCTCTTGCATCAAGACAATGTACCACCAGCTCACACAGCACTGTCTGTGAGGGAGTTTTTAGCCAGTAAACAAATAACTGTATTGGAACACCCTCCCTACTTGCCTGATCTGGCCCCAATTACTTTTTTCTTTACCTGGAGATAAAGGAAATATTGAGAAGAAGACACTCTGATAACATTCAGGACATCAAGAGTAATATGACGACAGCTTCTGATGGCCATTCCAGAAACAGAATTCCAAAATTGCTTTGATGGGTGGACTAGGTGCTGGTGTTGGTACATAGCTTCCCAAGGAGAGTACTTCGAAGGTGACCGTAGTAATGAGGTGTGTGGCATTTCTTCTAGGATGAGTTCGCGAACTTAATGATCAGGCCGCGTATCATGTTCGTTAACACAAAAACCCAATGTAATAAAGTTCTCATTCTTCACAAGTTAATTTACAAACTTAGCAGAATCCTAATAAAACACCATCAAGTTTTTGTTTTTGTTTGTTTGATTTTTGAAACAGTTCTAAAGTTCATTTGGAAAAAAATGAACAATAGTTAGGAAACCAATGAAAGGGAAGAGCTATAAGGGAGGATTAGTCTTACCAAATATTCAAACACTTTAAAAAGACTCAAATAGAAGATATGATACCAACACAGGAACAAAAACACACACACCAATGGGAGTAACAGAAATGAACCCAGCTACATAAGAGAATTTAGCATAAGTTAAAATACAGCTAAAATAGCATCTCAAGACTGTGGGTAAAAGATGATCCATAAAATGAATGGAGTTGGGATGAGTTCTGGGGGGGGAAATTATACTGGATTTCTGCTTTACACATTAAGCCAAATAGATTCAAGATGTCATTGTAAAAGATGAAATTATATACTAGATGAAAACCTGGGAGAACGTCTTTACATCTTTGGAATAGCAATGGCTTTGCCACCTACGACTCAAAAATCAAGAAGTTTCTTCCCCAAATAATTAGGAAATATAAGCACATGAAATTCTTATAAAAGTATGTGTATATTGTCTGTCTGTGTGTGTACTTATGTGTGTATCTTTTCCTCCCACATCTCAAACACCATACACAAAGTAGAAAGACAGCTAAGAAACTTGGAGGTTTCAACTCATATCATAAATAAATGGTTAATCTCTTTTAGGTTTTTTTAAACCCCCAGCAATGAATAAGAAAACAACCACCTGGCCAAGCTCAGTGGTTTAACCCATAATCCCAGGCTTTGGGAGGCTGAAGTGAGTGGATTGCCTGAGCCCGCGCGTTCGAGACCTGCCTGGGCAACTTGGCGAGACTTCGTTTCTTCAATAAATTAAAAAGAAATTAGCTGGGCGTGATAGCGCGCCTGTTCCAGCTACTTGGAAAGGTGAGGCGGAAGGATCGCTAGAGCCCAGCAGGTTGAGGCTGTGGTGGCCAGGAGCGTGCCATAGCACTCTAGTCTGGGCGACAGAGTGAGACTCCAACTCAAAAAAAAAAAAATACCCAAAAGACTTTACTTGCACAATGATCACTTGTATACCTAATCCTGCATTGTACCCCACATCTTTAAAATAAAATTTTACATCAACAAGGATACCTGCATAATCAATATTTGTATACCTAACCCTGAATTGTACCCCACATCTTTATAATAAAAAATAAATAAATAAAACTTTTTTAAAAATTTTTTTAAAGGACGGGGTTTAGAGAGTTTCTGGGTAGCTGAACATGTGGAAGTTCCTGGAAGGTGGCACGCCCAGGGAGGACATGGAAACTCTGCAGTCCTCCTCCATACCTCACCTTAAGCATCTCTTCATCTACATCCTTTGTAATATCCTTTATAATAAACCAGTAAATGTGTTTCTCTGAGTTCTGTGAGCCACTTAAGTAAATTAATCAAATCCAGAGAAGGAGCTATGGAACCCCAGCTCAAAACTGTTTAGTCAAAGGTCCAAACTTGCAACTGGTAGATGGGGGCATGAGGTGCCTTGGGAACTAAGCCCTCAACCTGTGAGATCTGACACTATCTCCAGGCAGATTGGAGCTTGTGTCCACTGTTTATTAGTGGGGGAAAATCCTCACACATTTGTCACAGACGTCTTCTGTGTTGATCATTGTGGTGGGAGAGCAGAGAAAAAAAAACACAGTTTGAGTTTTCTTTCCAAACACCCACTCTTTATTTTAAAATACCTGCAAAAAATTAAACTACACTGAATGTCATTCTTCACTTATCATGTTAGCAAAAGCATGCAGGCATTTGATAGTATTGATAACATTCAATTGGCAATACTATGAAGATACGGCACTTTTATACACCAGGAATATAATAAATATAACCTTATTTATAGGTTCATGCTCTCTCTATGGAAAGCAATATGACAACATCTATCACAGTGACTTGTATGTATCCTTTGACCCAACAGTTCCTCTCTGGGATCTGTCCTACAGTTATATTTGCATTTCTGCAAAATAGTTTCTGTACAAGTTTCATTACAATAGCATTTTTAGAATGGAAACAATTTAAATGTCTATCAGCGAAGACTGGTTAAAAAAAAACATTTCAGCCGGGCGTGGTAGCGCGCGCCTGTAATTCCAGCTACTCGGAAGGCTGAGGCGGAAGGATCGCCAGAGCCCAGCAGGTCGAGGCTGCGGTGGCCGGGAGTGGCCACTGCACTCCAGTCTGGGTGACAGAGTGAGACTCCAACTGAAAAAAAAAAAAAAATTCAAAACCATGGTACAGCCAAATAATTAGAATGCTAGATAACTGTAAAAGAAGAATGAGGAAGCTTTGTATATACGAACATAGAAAGATCTCCAAGATTTAGACAAAAAAGACAAGTGAAAAAAAGTGATCCAAAAAAGTATAAAATCCTAATTTCTGTGTAAAAAAGAAGGAAACTGGAAATATTGTTATATTTGCTTATATGTACAAAAAAATACTTTGAAGGAATTCACAAGAAACTAACAACAACGTGTAGCGACCATGAACTGTGTACTTAGATCTGCTGCTGTAGGGAGCAAAACTGGCATATGACCCTGCCTACGGTCCCTCTAGATCGACCACTGTATTTGGGCCAAGACCAGCTTCCCACAGGTTGCTCCTGCACAACGACTGAGCAAGATTGGAGCACTAAGACAAGCCTATTCCAGCAAGTCAGGGAGCTCCTCTTACAGTCGTCTCCCCATGGCCCAGCTGACCTTTCTTGGCGCTATGCTGCCGTCCGACACTCCCGTTCTCACTTCTTTCTCCTTTCCCGGTTATCAGATATGCACATCTTATCCCATTTTGGTAGCTGCTTCTCAAGTGGGCCATCGTTGCCTTCTGAGGTGTGGGAGATGAGGCAAATGTGAGATTGGAGAAATTATCTTCGAACCATATGAGCATATTATACAGTCAAAAATTAAGCTTAAAATACTCTCTAGCAGTGCTTTTCCAAGTGTTATTCCAGTATCTACTACAAAAGAGTTGTCTCTCCTGGGACCCACCCCAAACCACTGAAAAGGTATACCTTTTGGGGGCCCAGGGATCTGCACTTAAATGTCCCCAAATATACTAAAGCACATAGTTAAATAAATAGAGCGTTAAACTATAACATGCGCATGAACGGAACAAAAATACAAACATGTAAAGTGAACTGAAGGAGCCAAATGGCCAGCATACTTACACGTTGATTAAATAATGTACTTCATCTAAACAAAGAACATGTGGGATGGGGGAAAACAAAGCAAAACAAAACAAAAAACTAGGAAGAGGAACCAAGCAGCCAAGCACAACTTTTCCAAACTTCGCCCAGGTCAGAAGGAATAATATTGAAGGTACCTCAACTATTCTGGTCCTAGAATAAAACCAACCCTCCCTTAGGATGACTCAAGCTGTATATGCCACCATTAAACATTAAATAAAACCTCATTCCATTTATCTGACACCCTGTCCTCTAAGTAACTTTGTAATAATAATTTGGGTTCTATATAGTGTTGCCTTAGGAAGAGATGGATAATTTCAAAATTACAAAAGAACTCTAAGAACATGGAAAAAACTATATTTGACGCATAACTGAAGACATTCAAATTATGCCATTCTTTAAACTCACTACCCATTTCCAGAAAAGCTTGCAGTTACTTTATTTTCATTCTCCTTTAATTTCCTGACCCATGATGTTCCAATCAAAAATCAATTCTAGAAAGCATATAGCTTTATTGCCAATCTTGTCTTGCCAAAACACTGCATAGAAAATCAAATCTTGGCCAGGTTTGTTGGCTCAATCTGTAATCCCAGCACTTTGGGAGGCCAAGGCGAGTGAGTTGTCTGAGCCCACGGGTTTGAGACCACATTGAGCAACTTGGTACTTGGTGAGATCTCCTCTCTACAAAAACAAAAAAAACAAAAACAAACAAACAAACAAAAAACAAATCTTGTTAATTAGAATTGCTGGGACTTCTATTTCTAATAAAGAATGTAACCCCAGTGAGTGAACTGAAGTATTAGAACCATTGCTTCAAAATGTACATTATTTTTAATTATTTGGTATCATTGTCATGAGGTCACAGAAAAAGTGTAGACACTATTTTAGAGGATCTCTTCTCACAGGGTACAGTCATGCACCACATAACAAAATTTCAGTCAGTGGACCACATATATTATGGTGATCCCATAAGATTATAATATTGTATTTTTAGGCCCGGCTCAGTGGTTCAGCCTGTAATCCCGCGCTTTGGGAGGCTGAGGTGAGTGGATTGCCTGAGCCGGCGGGTTCGAGACCCGCCTGGCCAACTTGGCGAGACCTCATCTCTACAATAAATCAAAAATCAGCTGGGTGTGGTATCGCGCACCTGTAGTTCCAGCTACTTGGAAGGCTGAGGCGGAAGGATCGCGGGAGCCCAGCAGGTTGAGGCTTCGGTGGCCGGGAGCGGCCACTGCACTCCAGTCTGGGCGACAGAGTGAGACTCCAACTCAAAAAAAAGCTGGGCTTGGTGGCTCAGCCTGTAATCCGGTGCCTTGGGAGGCTGAGGTGAGTGGATTGCCTGAGCCCGCGGGTTCGAGACCCGCCTGGGCAAGTTGGCGAGACCTCATCTCCACAATAAATCATAAAAAAAATCAGCCGGGGGAAAAAAAAAATCAGCCAGATGCCGGCTCGGTGGTTCAGCCTGTAATCCTGCGCCTTTGGGAGGCTGAGGTGAGTGGATTGCCTGAGCCTGCAGGTTCGAGACCCGCCTGGGCGGCGAGACCTCATCTCTACAATAAATCAAAAAATCAGCCGGGCGTGGTAGCGCATGCCTGTAATTCCGGCTACTCGGAAGGCTGAGGCGGAAGGATCGCCGGAGCCCAGCAGGTCGAGGCTGCGGTGGCCGGGAGCGGCCACTGCACTCCAGTCTGGGCGACAGAGGAGACTCCAACTCAAAAAAAAAAAAAAAAATGTATTTTTAGTGTACCTTGTCTATTCTTAGACACATAAGTACTTACCATTGTGTTACAATTGTCTACAGTACTTAGTACCATAACATGCAAGCCTAGAAGCAATAGACCCTACCGTACAGCCCAGGTGTGTCGATGGCTATACCATCTAGGTTTATGTAAGTATGCTCTATGACATTCACACAATGATGAAATTGCCTAAAGATGCATTTCTCAGAAGGTATTCCCATCATTAAGCAACACATGACTGTATTTTGAAGCAAATGACTAGCGAGATTTTACTAAACAATCTTCATTCTATGGGCTACCCTTTGTTACCTATTGCATCTATTTGCAAGTTACAATTAATAGTCACTTCCTTTAGCTGACTTTCCAGAATAACTTTAAAGTCTAGCTACTCAACTTGAACTCACAATTTCTTTTTTTTTTTTAATTTTTAATTTTAAATATGTGGGTTATAAGGCTGGGCACGGTAGCTCAAGCTTATAATCCCAGCACTTTGGGAGGCCAAGGTGAGGGGATTGCCTGAGCCCACAGGTTTGAGAACAGCCTGGGCAACTTGGCAAGACCTCATCTCTACAATAAATCAAAAAATTAGCCAGGCATGATAGCACATGCCTGTAGTTCCGGCTACTTGGAAAGCTGAGCCTGAGCCCAGCAGGTCAACGCTGGGTGACCATGAGCGTAGGGACGGAGTGAGACTCCAACTCAATAAATAAATAAATAGAAAGAAAGAAAGATAGATAAATATCTGGGGTACAATTCAGGTTTAGGTATACAAATGTTCATTATGCAGGTACCCTTGTTGATAAGGTATGTCCCCCTCCCTTGGCAGTTTCCCACTACTGCCAATCCCACCCCCCACCCTCCCCTAGCACTTTCCC